GCAACATTGACACAGACAGAAAAGCCCCAAAAAGTATAAGAACAGAACTATGACTTCAGTTTGAATTCAGTTTATTTCTATAGCACAATTCACAGCACACATCTCATCTCAAAGCACTTTCCAGTTCACCAGATCATCCAGTCAGACTGATTCAAAGTTTTCTATCTAAGGAAAGCCAGTTGATTGCATCAATTCAAAAAGGCTCCAGGGCGCCCAAGAAAGACCAGCAAGCACCAGGACCGTCTCTTGAAAGTGTTTCAGCTGGGGGATCGGCCTACCAGCAGTGCAGAGCTTGCTCAGGAATGGCAGCAGGCCGGTATGAGTGCATCTGCACACACTGTGAGGCAGAGACTCTTGGAGCGAGGCCTGGTTCAAGGAGGGCAGCGAAGAAGCCACTTCTCTCCAGGAAAAACATCAGAGACAGACTGATATTCTGCTAAAGGGACAGGGAGTGGACTGCTGAGGACTGGGGGAAAGTCATTTTCTCTGATTAATCCTCTTTCCCATTGTTTGGGACATCTGGAAAACAGCTGGTTGGGAGAAGACCAGGTGAGCTCTACCACCAGTCTGGTCTCATGCCGACTGTAAAGCCTCCTGAAACCATTCATGTGTGGGGTTGCTTCTCAGCCAAGGGAGGCGGCTCTCTCACAGTCTGACCTAAAAACACAGCCATGAATAAAGAACCAGAATGTCCCCCCAGAGCAGCTTCTCCCAACCGTCCAAGAGCAGTTTGGTGATGAACAGTGCCTTTTCCAGCATGGTGGGGCACCTCGCCATAAAGCAAAGCTGATATCTAACTGGCTCAGGGAACAAAACATAGAGATTTAGGGTCCATGGCCTGGAAACTCCCCTGATCTTAATCCCATTGAAAACTTGTGGTCAATCATCAAGAGACGGATGGACAAACGAAAACCTAGGAATTCTGACCAAATGCAAGCATTGATTGTGCAAGAATGGACGCTATCACTCAGGATTTGGTCCAGAAGTTGATTGAGAGCATGACAGGGAGAATTGCAGAGGTCCTGAAGAAGAGGAGTCAACACTGCAAATATTGACTTGCTGAATGAAATAATTTTAACTGCCATTAAAAGCTTTTGTTACTCATAATATGATTGTAATTGTATTTCTGTGATGATCTGACATACACACACATGAAAACCAGAGGGCAGCAGATCAGGTGAAAATATAATATTTGTGTCATTCTCTTTGGCCATGACTGTAGATCCAAAAGGCAACTGTCAACCAGCTCCACAGGCGGCCCCGTCCAGGAAACACACAGCCAGGCAGACGAGCTCCGAGCCAGCTTCCATGTCAGAGGATGAAGAGAGCACATCCAGTTAGTCACAGTCAGAGAAACAGGACTACACTGGAAAACAGGCAAACAGGAAGACCTGATGAAGCTACTATGAGAAAAAGCAGAGAGA